TCGATTTGGCTGCAACTTTTGTATTGTTTTCTACCCCATTGAAAACCTCTGAGAATTTTTTCAAATTTTTTCACCCAACTCAAAAAAAGTTATGAATTTTTGAAGCTTTTTTAAAAAAATAACCATAACCTTTTCAAAAAATGAGTTAACGGGACGTTTTTTTTCAAAATTTTTGTTTTTAAATGTACTTTTTGAAAAAAAAATAGATTAAAATTATCTGGACCTATCTTCACTGTTTTTTNTTTTTTTTTTTTTTCTTATAAAAATGTGACATTTTTTATAAATCCTCAAATTTTTCCATTGTTTTTTCGATTTCTATTTTTTATTGATTGAAAAATTTTTTTTTAATTTTTGTTTTTAAATATACTTTTTGAAAAAAAATAGATTGAAATTATCTGGACCTATCTTCACTGTTTTTTTTTAATATTCGATAAAAAACGGAAAATTTCTCGAGTTACAATTTTTAATTTCTTTTTTCTTATAAAAACTAATTTTTTATAAATCCTTAAATTTTTTCAGTTGTTTTTTCGTTTTCTATTTTTTTTATTGATTGAATTTTTTTTTTCAAATTTAGCTTATTCCACATAACATCATTTTGAAAATTTTTGAAAATGTAGGTATGTAGAATCCCAAAATTGAAAAAATTTATTCTATGCAGCGTTTGATGACAATTTCAAAAAGTCAAAAGAGGATGGTTTAAAAATGATTTATTTGAGTTCAAATGTGTTGCACGTTTTTTTTAAAGCCCACTGTTCGTCCAAAAATGGACCAAATAACAACTTTTTTTAAAATTTTCTTTGTTTCTGGATGTAGTTTTCGAAAAAAAATTATTCAAAACGATCTTCTATTTTTTCAAAAGAAATCGAATTTTTTTTCAGTTTTACCACTTTCAATCATTTCTTTCATATATTTTTTTTCAATTTTCGGATTCTATATAGTATTTCAAAAATTTTGAAAATTGTGTTATGTGAAATAAGCTAAATTGAACAAAAAAATTGTTTTCAATTACTTAATAAAAAAAATAGAAAACGGAAAAACACCACTGAAAAAATTTCAGGATTTATAAAAAATGTCAGTTTTTTATAATAAAAAAAACAATTTTTCAAAAATCGAGAAATTTTCGTTTTCTTTTTTGGAAAATTGAAAAAAAAACAGTGAATATAGGTCCAGATAATTTTGATCTATTTATTTTCAAAAAGTACATTTAAAAACAAAAATTTTGAAAAAAACGTCCCGACAACGCAATTTTTGAAAAAGTTATGATTATTTTAATAAAAAGCTTTTTTCAAAACTTCATAACTTTTTTTGAATTTGGTGAAAAAATTAGAAAAAATTCTGAGGTTTTCAATGGGGTAGAAAACAATAAAAAAGTTTCAAGGGGTCAGGGTTGTTAAAAGTGGTCGATTTGGAGTGGAATGCCCATAAGATAAGAGACAGAAAAACTGTATTGTCAAAATGTATTGAATTAATTCAAATAAATTCGTCTGAAAATAATATTCTTCTTCAAAATCCATTCTGAATCGTTCCAATATCTCTTTTCTACATCATGAAATCGTTTGTTGAACTATACTAAATAGTTTATGGGACTAGTCGTTATTGGGAATATTCACTTTTCAGGGCTATGGGGTTCAGAAGTCTGCTGTATTAGAATTTTTTGTGCTTGGAAATTCGATTCCTAAGGCTATGGGATTACAGATTCTGTTTTTTACAAATAGAAATAAAAATTATCCCGCAGGAAATATTATTAATTTAACTATTAATGGTTATATTTTAAATATGGTCTCCAAAATTAATTTCCTTGGAGTGACTTTAGATGGAAATCTACACAGGCCAACTACTATTTCTAATCTGCTACGGAAGAGTTATTAGGATTTGTAGACACCATAACGGACGTTGTGGGAAAAACCTACATAACCTCAAATATAGTGAAACACTATTTTTCGTACTTTTAAATTGGGATATTTCATATATCATACATTTGTATAGCGCTGCACAGTGGGTAAACCATTCAACCACAAAATGTTGAAACCATAAACCTAAACACCTAATTAATTAAACTAAACACACAACACCCAGACCCATAAAATTTAAACCTATAAACAGGTTTATGGTTTCCAGAATTTGTGGTTGAAGGGTTTACATTTAACTGGTTTTAAAATTTATACCTTACTTTTTTATATTCCCTAAATATTGTTTATATTTCCTGGTATCATTTATGGGAAACATTTCTGATTGCGGTTTATAAGATAGGCAAACCAATAGAGATGTTTTGGCACACTTAAATATTACAGCAAATTTCGAGTATTATCTTTTGAAAAATGAAATGAAAAAAGTAAATGAAAACCCAAGTGAGTTATAGACTGTAAAATTTGACGGCCTATTGTTAAACAATTAGGTTGGTAGCGGCAAAAACAGATACTGTCATAACCGGCAACCCGAGTACTTTGCCAGATAAAAATATTTTATTTCTGACCGGCATATTATTAGCTTATATCGTCATAGTTACGCTATCAATAAAGAGAGTCATAACTCCCTTGGGACATTATAGATTATACAGGGTGAGTCAGTTTTTTGTAGACAAACTTTAACAGGAGATAGAACACATGTTTTTAAAAAGAAAAGTTCCTATAAACATGTCGTAGAAGGCTTCGTTTCCGAGATACAGGGTGTTGAATATATTTTTTTTTTCTCGAATTTTCATTATAATTTATAAACGAATGCTTAGATTTTTTTCATGTTTGGGAGATAATGTCTATTAATTAAGTGGCATAAAACAAGCGATAAGAATGTTCAAAAACTTGCACAGTGGCGGAGTGGAGGGGGTGCTCAACCTCTTTCTTAGACAGAACTTCTACGCCAATGACTATTTTTAAAAAAAACTGTTATTTTCATTATCTACATACAGTTTAACAAAAATAATGTCCCTTCTTCCGTTTCGAAATTCCTGTGCGTTTAAGAGTTATTTTGATTTTTAGAGTTTGATGTGGTACTAAATTAAATAATTTATTTATTATCAATTATCTGTTAAATATTTAATTCTATTAACGAAACCTACCTAAATATGGTTTTTTAAGGATTCTAAAAGCCGAAATCTCATATTCTTTATCTCTTTCCAATGTAGTCAAAATAAATATTTGT